AAGGTGGATTGGATTTAGATAGTAAGTGCCTGCCCCTTATTCATTCTCATCACCAAGGCTATACCTGCAACTGTGACTGATAGCCAGCAGAGGCCACTGTGGCCTTGCCAAATTAGCCACAACTCTGCAGGTCACCCTGCTGCTCCCTCTGCTCAGATTCAGTTGCCTGAAGAAGGAAGGAACAAGAGGGGGAATAGTAGGGTTGTCATATTTCAAACAGTGAAAATCCAGACAGAAAAGCTGTTGAGCTTTTTTTGGCAAATTTGTTGGCAAAGACGGCACTGCAAGCATATAATCTAATGTCATTATTCCTTGGTTTAAGGCTGCATTCTCTCCACATTCACCCACAGTCACTTTAACGTCCCTCTCTTGAAAGTTGGTTACAATTGCCAAACAAAATGAAGAGAGTAAGGCAGTTAGGGAGCTGTCTATTTTTAGTGGTTAAGAGCGGTAGTCTCGTAATCTGGGGAACCGGGTTCGCGTCTCTGCTCTTCCACATGCAGCTGCTGGGTGACCTTGGGCCAGTCACACTTCTTTGAAGTCTCTCAGCCCCACTCACCTCACAGAGTGTTTGTTGTGGGGGAGGAAGGGAAAGGAGAATGTTAGCCGCTTTGAGACTCCTGAAGGGGAGTGAAAGGCGGGATATCAAATCCAAACTCTTCTTCTTATTATTATTATTTGCATTTTATTTTCTATTATTAAAACCACCAGGTTGCCAATAAAACCAGGATCATTGGTTATCATCCCCAGAGATCTAGCCTGTAAACTTTGAAAGGAAGAGAGAATAAATGGGGAACTTCTGTCCTTCCAGATGTTACTGAACTCTCTCCCACCATTCCTAACTATCAGCCATGCTGGTTGGGGCTGATGGGAGTTGGAGTGCAATAATGTATGGAGAATCAACAGTTTCTCTGCCCTGATCTAAGAAGAGGCATTCCCTCATCTCATGAGGGAATGACTCTTCTAAATGAAGGGCTTCTTCCATCTATTGCGTGCTACTTCTTCGATCAGGAATGGGGACCTGTAGCCATCCAAATATTGTCAGACTACAACTCCTATCATCCCTGAGCATCAGCCATATTGAGTGGGATTGATGGGAGTTGGAGCAAAATCCAGAGGGCTACAGGTTTCCTTCCCAGCAGTGGATTATAACTGCCCTGATGCTCCAGTTCATTAGTCAAAATTCATTATCCTTTCTCCTTATTGTGGCTGGGATCCACAAGTTAACAATAGATCACATGCTTCTGCTTTATATATAGGCAGCAATCATTTTAGGCAGGTCCAAATGATGAGTAATTACCAACATGTGAGTCCTTTTGGACCTGGAAGAGGAAAGAACAGTGGCAGGGTGGTGCTGTGGTGTAAACCACTGAGCCTCTTGGGCTTGCTGATCGGAAGGTTAGCGGTTCAAATCTCCACAATGGGGTGAGCTCCCGTTGCTCTGTCCCAATTCCTGCCAACCTAGCAGTTCAAAAGCATGCCAGTGCAAGTAAATAAATAGGTACCGCTGCGGCGGGAAGGTAAACGGCATTTCTGTGCACTCTGGAACTCATCACGGTCCTCCGTACACCAGTAGTGGTTTAGTCATGCTAGCCACATGACCCAGAAAACTGTCTGTGGACAAACGCCAGCTCCCTCGGCCTGAAAGCGAGATGAGCGTCGCAACCCCACAGTTGCCTTTGATTGGACTTAACTGTCCAGGGGTCCTTTACCTTTACCTTTTTATGTGCACTCCACTCCACTGACGTGTGTTGGGGCTGGAAATGGAACCACTGTGCGAAATAGCCATTGCCTGTACAATTATTTATTATTATACATTGAATATTGTGATGAATTATATTTCTCTAACTTTTTTGAATTTTATGGATATTATAGGCAGATCCATACAATATATTTAAAACTTATTTCTCCCTTCCCAAAGAATCCTGGAAAGTGTAGTTTATTAAGGGTAGCTGGACCTGTAGCTCTGTGAAGAGAAAACTACACTTCCCAAGATCCTTTGTGGGTGCAGCTTATAACAATCACATCACCACCTTCAGGCTTATAACACTTTTTCAATAAAATAAAAATGAAAGAGCAAATCATCAGCGCTCACTCTGACCTATAAATGCAGGGTGGACAAATACCCTATGCTAATCTAGCTACTGCATTTCCCCAGAGCAGGAATGGGGGAAATGAAATACAACTCCCTCACCATTACCAATGCCAGCTTGGGCTGATGGTAGCTGGAGTCCAACATAGGTGGAACGTCCCCCTTTTGCCCTAGAGCATGCTGGGAACTGTAGTCTAATAGGCTCCCTCTCCCTCGGTGGTTGCCGGGAATTATCGAACTCTCACATATCCCGTCCCGCTCGGACAGCTCCCTTGTAAGTTTTATATTCTGCGGGCCGTTTATTCCCTTCAAGTCGCCTGCGCCAAGCATCCCCTCACCTGCATAATTTGGTGGAGGCGGTGTTTCTCCGCGTAGAGCCCCATCTGCGGAGGGATATGTATAGGTCTCTTAGTGGCGTCCATGGCTGCCCTAGCAACAGCTCGTCGCTAAAGGAAGAACGTCACTAGAGAGTGACGAAACCCATGGCCGCCAGATTTGGCATCACCCCCTCATAGATGTAGGCTTGCTAGTTCGTGCAAAGGCAGTGTATGTCATCAGATAGCGACGACGCTATCATCTCCATCACACTCCCTGCACCTTTAAAGGGACAGTAACGGCTAACTGGTTACAGGATTGAGATAGTTTCTAAATCGGGCCATTTACCTCATCGTGTGAAAAGGACCACACATCACATTTCAGCTACTCATTAAGACGCATAAATATAGATAGATAGATAGATAGATAGATAGAGATATACGTGTGTGTAATATGTATCGTTCTGCTAGGATAACTAAAGCATCACTAACAAAGAAAAAATGCGCGCGCACAAAAAACAGGGGAAAGGGAAGGGCACATATCTGCATATGTTAATTCATTAGTATAAATGAAAATTTAGACATAAATACTATATCATAGAACTGTATAGTTGGAAGGGATCCTGAGGATCATTCTAGTCCAATCCGCTGCAATGCAGGAATGTGCAGCTGCCCCATTCAGGGATTGAACCTACAACCTTGGTGTTAACACCACTATGCTCTAACTGTTGGTTAGAGGTTATGGTTACGGAAGAAGAAATATCTCAAAATAATAAGAAAGACCATGTTGAGGTGACTTTGTGCCTGCTGGGTGTGGTGTCTAAGTACTCCCTCGGATATCCATAAATGTTTTTATTAGGTAGCCTCAGTGGCTAGAACTGCTTTATACCAACTGCAGCTGGTTCAACAGCTGCAGCCATTCCTGGACCACGAAAGCCTTGCCACAGTTGTTCATGCATTCGAGACTGGATTACTGTAATGTACTCTGTGGCACTTCTCTCACACTTGCCCCAGAAGTTGCAGTTGGTACAGAATGCTGCAGCATGATTGCTGACAGGTGTCAGGCCTGCACTCAGAGAGCAGCACTAGTTGCTGACTTCCTACAAGGCCAAGGTGTTACTAATATAAAATCCTTACCTTGGTACCAATTTACCTATGAGATTGACTTACCCCACATGTGCCCACTCAACTGCTTTGGCACTACTTCAGGTGACACATAATACCTATTCCACATTTGTAAGAACTCGATTGTTTAGAGTGGCAGCACCTACACTTTGGGACCCCCTGCCTATAGATATCAAGTAGGCACCTTCACTGTACTCTTTTTGGCAGTTACTAAAAACCTTCTTGTTTAAACAAGTCTACCCAGATGCTTTAAAAGTTGAGGTAATTTTACTTTGTTTTAGTATTTTAACTTTCCTATGTTATGAAATATGGTTCTGATTTTTTCTTGATTTTACTGTTTTAACTTTTCTAAACTGCTTTGAGGTTTTTACAATCAAGCAGTGTTAAAACTTTATGAAATAAATAAAGAATAAATAATTTATTTCTGGCTGGGCACCCAAGTTTTCCCCTCCCCCCATCCCGACTGATCCATGGTGGACTGAAAATTCAGCAGGTACTTCTGACCCCCATTTTATACTCACAGCCATCCTTTGAGGCAGGTCAGGCTGAGAGATTTTGATCAAGGTCATATATGAGTTTTGTGATAGAGTGGGTCTATGATCCTGGCAAGCCCAATCCGTACTATACATTTAAAGCAGTATCAAAGGCGGAATTGATGTAGAGGGGGGGGGCGAAGGGTGGCGCTTTGTTTTTAAAAAGCTCAATAAATTTTTAGGGGGGTTCCTTAAAAAAAGCTGAACAACCTTTGGGGTGTCCTGACTTTTTACTTTTTGAAACATGGCAACCCTAATTATACTACTTAAAACAGCCATGGCTTCTCCCTCTCCTGATTGTTCAACCATTATGGAAATTGAACAAATCTTTATTCTGCATTAATTATTAATTATTATACACTTTAGGAGAGGAACCGCACCTCCCAAAGCAGTCTAATGATTACAAGAATGTGCCATGGCCACAAAAAGATGGGGAACGTGGAGGGAGAAAAAAGCATGGAATATCCAGGAAGCAGGGATGGCTGGCTGGCTCCCAGCGCACGAACTCTTTCGCTATCACTTTTTGTAATTTTGTACTGTAATTTCACATTACCTTCCTGCAACAGACTAAAGAAAGCTCACATGGTGAGCGGGGCGGGGAAGAAGAGGTTCCCGGTCGCTTGTCCCCACAGGTAGACTACGTCTGAGCGTGGAGGCTCCACTGGGAGCGCGGCGCTTCGTCCAAATCCTATCTCCTCGCACTCCAAGATATCTCCAGAAAAAGCAGCCGACCCCCTCCTCTCCCAACTGTAGGTGGGTCGGGTGGGACTGGGAGAGGGTAGGATGGGGTTGGGTGGCCCTGGACATGGAGGCGTGCCGGCTGCGTCAGCAGAGCCTCCCGCGGCCACGTGCACACGCGTACACACACCCCGGTTGCCCGGGGTGACGCGTGTAACAATTGCTCCGGCCGCTTGCCTCCAGCAAGGAGCCGGCGAGTGCCAACAACAGCCAGCGCCCGCGGCGGAGGCGGCTTCGGGACATGCACAATCGGGGAAAGGAGCGGAGGGAGGAGGAAGCCTGAAGCTGCAGTCGGAGAGACAAGTTAATGACATTCCTGTCTCCGACCTACCTCACAGGGTTCTTGGGAAGGCTGCGGAGTTGACGCGCGCGCTTTGCGCTGAGAACATTCTAAAACGGCGTTTGAACGGGAAAGGGGCCGGAGGTCAGTGTCAGAGCGGCGTCGTGGCAGACAGAAGGTCTCAGGTTCGACCACCAGCATCTCCCCTGCCGGGCTGATGGGAGTTGCAGTCCAAAACATCTGGAGGGCACCAGGTTAGGGAAGCCTGATCTAAGGCACACAGACACACAGACCCATCTCTCTGGGAAGAACTGCAAAGCCCAGAAGGGCACCCTACTGGTGTAACTCAGTTTATTCAGTTGGTCTCCAGTTCTCAAACTTGTGTGCCAGAAGAGAACTGTAAATCAAAACAGGTTAAACAACAAGAGGTTCCTAGGAATCCGGGGAATAGCGAAAAGGCTGTCTGGTATGTTGCTGCTCTGGGCTGACATTCAGTCTGCGTCTGCTAGGGCTAGGTAACTCTGCTCGGTCCCTGAACCAGGTATATCTCTGCATTCAATACCTCCTGGTGCAGGAACAAAGCAGATTTGCCTGCTCTAAGAAGTGGGTGTCTGTTGTGTCTCTGTACAAGTCACTGCTCTGGGCTGACCTCCTTCAAATCAGGGGCAGGAGATGTTCAAAACAGCAACTTATTATTTTTTGTTTTACTGTTTTGTTTTAACTTTTATTGTCATTTTTCAGACAGACATAAACAAATGCAAAATGCAGCAAAAACGATGGTAAAAATAATTAAGGATACTGAAGAACGGGAGGGGGAAGCAACATAGTGTGCAATGCACCATAGAACAACTATTGCATGTAGAAGAGTCAATTTAGTGCTCAATAAATTTAGTTCTCTGCATGTTTACCTGTAAAACAGGGAGTTCAGTGGGCTGTGCCAGTCAAGTTTACATAAGAGAATAAACATCCCACATTGAATAGAAGTGATCGATTTTAGATGCACCATTAAAGACTCTGTTGGTGTGTCCGAATTTCTAACAGTACAATGCCGCATACCTTTCCTAGACACTCCTCTCAGGAAGGAGGTAAGTGAATGAGACTAGCTAATTCTTATACTGTACAAACCATTCTGGGCATCAGTGTTCAGTTTCTGACCTGCCTACTTTTGAAGGAGTTGATACGCAACCCTGGCCCTTGTGCCAAGGTTATATTCCCTACATCCTCCCTCTACCTACCTACACACATGCACATGCCTTCTCCACCTTCCACTTGGAGGGGACCAGTGAAAATCTGGAGACTCCACATCAGACCCAAAGATCTGGCAAACCTAACCCCTTACCAATCTAGATAGGGAGCCACAGCACATCCTATAAATGTGCCCCCCCCCAATCTCAGCTTAGAAATGTGAATGATCCATGCTAGAAAAACCACCACCACTTCTAGAATCCTGTCTCCCCCAATAGGTGCAAGCAAGCAAAGGTTAACATCAGCTGCAGGGGCCCCTCATTCCAATGTCCATCAAGCTAGCCTTTGCGTTTAATGACCAGGAGGAAATCTGAAGTCACTTGGGCCACTGTTTTATGCTAGCCAAGAGGAGGCTTCTGTCCCCTCGGTCTTTTCATGGCATCACAGTTGATGCATTGCCGCATTATGTTTACAATCGACTCACTAGGGTTTATGGCACCTGATTGTCAGTCAGTCTTTTCTGGACTGGAGGTCTGTTTCTGCTGTATCATTACAACCATATTGACTTACTGTTTGGGGATCAGGGGCTGCAGAGTTAGATTGTGATATATCTTTCCCACTCTCCCTTTAAACACACACACACACACACACACACACACACACATCTTGCAATTGGGCTCTTCTATGGCAAGATAGCTTCGGGTGTCCGCAAATGGATAAGCACCAATAATCGAACCACCTGGGAAGTCGTTAGTGTTAAGATCAAGCTTCTCCATCAAATGAGAAGATGGGTGGGATATGAAGCAAACACATATTAAGTATTTTAGAAGATTGCAGTCTGCTGACTGTATATTCAGAAGTTACGGGAGGTAACCTGGCATGTGGGGGAAAGGGGGGGGAAACTTATTCCACATTCTTTATCATTTTGGTCACACTCTAGCATGACCAACAGACAAAACTCAGGATGGGGCTGTTTGTTATCCTTATTTGTTGTTATACTTCCACTCCACTTTTCCTCCAAGAAGTTCAGCAGTGTACACAGTTATCCCCCTTTTATCCTCACAACAACCCTGCAAGGTAGGCTAATAATTTGACTTTTTTGTATGCTACCCATCTGCCTGGGGTGCCCCAGCCACTATAGGTGACTTCCAGAAAAATATAAAAACACAATAAATATTAAATACTTCCCCATACAGAGCTGCCTTTAGATGTCTTCTAAAAAGTCATGTAGTTGTTTATCTCTGTAACATTTGATGGGAGGGTGTTCCACAGGGCGGGCGCCACTACCGAGAAGGCCCTCTGCCTGGTTCCCTGTAACTTGGCTTCTCGCAGTGAGGGAACCGCCAGAAGGCCCTCGGTGCTGGACCTCAGTGTCCAGGCTGAATGATGCGGGTGGTGACGCTCCTTCAGGCATAATGGGCCCAGGCCATTTAGGGCTTTAAAGGTCAGCACCAACACTTTAAATTGTTTTTGGAAATGTACTGACTCCATTTTGGAAACCTATTTTGTAACTAAGTATTATTACCTGCAAACCACTTTGAAGTATTTGCTGCCTGCATTGAAATGTAAGTAAACCTTTTTGTTTTTACTAAAACATGTGGTTCAATCTTAACAATGGGGACAGAGAGGGAAGAATGCTCAGCAAACCAAAAATAAACAGGGATAATAGGTGTAATTGTCAAATCCTTATCTTCCAGTAAGCTGCAAAAGCACGTAAGTGTTTTCACTCTGCTAAAAGGGCTTCATAGCCTGTTTACTCTCATATTTCTTCCACACACATGGGACAAGGGGTTAAAATTTTAATTTACGGATTTAATCCTCAATCCATCCCCATCAGGGTTACTGTGGGGATTAAATGAGGTGGGGAAGTATCATGCATGCTCTCTTGAGTTTCTTTTGTGGGAAAGGGGGAATATAGGCTATCATAATTCAATGAACAAATAGAAAATAAAAAGTACTAGATCTAATTCCATTCAGATAGTGCAAGAGGACAATGCAGGTGTCAACATTTATGCAGGTAATTATGTAAGGAAATAGCGATCACAACTATAAGGCATGTACTGGCTTTATAAAAGCCTGTTTGTTTGTTTATTTGTTTGTTTCATTTCTATACCACTTAATATTTTTAAGAAAAATCTCAAAGCGGTTTACAGAATATTAAAACATCAATAAAACAATCTGAGGAAAGTAAAATTTAGAGTATACAGTCAAAGCAACATAATTAACAGAAAACTAAAATATCTTGAAGATTTCAAAATAAAACTACAAAGGAGGTCAACTACAGAATACATATTTAACACAAACAAAGTTAACAAAAAAAATCTTAAACATTTCAAAAGAAAGCATTGCTAAGGAAAGTCAAATATAAAATGCACATTTAAAACAGCATAATTAACAAGAGAATAAAATATTATAAGCATGACACGGCTGTTAGGCAGGCACAAAAAGATGGGGCAAAAGAATCCAATAGTTGTTGTCAGGCATAGCGATGTCCCTCTGGTCTCACAGGAGCCTCTTTAGTAGAGCTGGTGAGTCTGGGCCCTACCCGCTAAGCCAGATGGAAAGGGCCTTGCAGGGAGAGGCCCTTTACGACTCACAGCTTGGTGAAGAGATTGAACAAATGTCTCCTTGTTTCTTCCAAATCCTAGGAGCAGGGGAAAATGAATGAAATCAAGGAGAGCCTGCGGAACATCGAACAGACTTACAAGATCTTCCAGCAACAGCAGTTCACCTTCATTACTGCACTGGAACACACCCGAGAGAATGCCCATGACAAAATCAAGCCTGTGTCAAGCATTGGACAGGTATGGAGAGATCCCAGAACTAGGGGATGAGGGAGAAATCCACTTCAGGCCATAGCTCAGTGGTAAAGCATCTGCTTTGGTTACAGAAGGTCTCAGGTTCAATCCACCATGGCATCTCCAGGTAGGGCTGGGAGAGATTCCTCCCTGAAACCTTGGAGAGTCGTTGCCAGTCAGTATAGACAGTGATGTACCAAGGGCCTGACTCTGTGTAAGGCAGCTTCCTAGGTTTCTCTGTGTTTATAGGTGACTCTACGTAATGCATACTTTCCAGTGCAATTTTGGAAAACCGAAATGCAGCCTCCCTTCGAAATCTGTGCTTCTCTGAATTGTGTGATGCAGGTCCAAAAATGCGCCAAGAAATTATGAACATAACTAGGGTGAAGAGTGCATAAATGTACATAATATAAATGAAAAGTGCATGCAAAATGCATCACATTAGAGGAAAATCATATATTTAGACAATATTGCATATATATTAGGATAAATTTGCACTAAAATGCTTATGAATTTTCATGAGGACTTAAAAATAATAATTGCAAACTGATGGTGAGAATTGAAACCGATACACTGAAATGGACAGATTCACCCTTCCTAGTTTTTTTCTCTTCCCCCTGATTTCCCTCCCCCCCCCATTAATCTTTATTAAATTTTAAAACACATAAAAAGAAGAAAGAAAAAATTACAGTTGTCAAAACAAAACAAAAACAAAAAATGAAGACTTCCGTAGTGTATACCATTTCTAAAACATATCCATTATGGATGTTTGCAAAATAAATTACAAGGTTTTAACATAAAGATCCAAACATTGTTTGCTTTTTTAGTTAATCATGTAAAAAGGAAAGGAGAGCCCATGTCAACCAAACCTTCCTATATATCTTTACTGGATTTGGGGAGAGGGAGGGGGGAGGACTTATACAAACATAAAATAAAGACCCGAACCAATGGACCCAAATTACAAAATAGGAGATTAAAACTAAACATTAGGAAGAACTTTCTGATGGTAAGGGTTGTGGAAAAGACTCACTTGGGAGCTGGTGGATTCTCCTTCCTTGGAGGTTTCTAAGCAGAGGTTGGATGGTCATCTGTCAGGGATGCTTTAGTTGAGATTTCTGCATTGCAGGAGGCTGGACTAGATGAAACTTGGGGCTCCTTTCAAACTCTACAATTCTGATTCTAGGAACAAACATAGTATGCTAACTAAAACAAAACATAGACTTGGTGTCTACCCACAAACTCTAGCATTGCAATCATGGGTAGGCAAACTAAGGCCCGGGTGCCGGATCTGGCCCAATCGCCTTCTAAATCCGACCCACAGATGGTCTGGGAATCAGCGTATTTTTACGTGAGTAGAATGTGCCCTTTTATTTAAAATGCATCTCTGGGTTATTTGTGGGGCATAGAAATTCATTCATTTATTATTATTTTTCAAAATATAGTCCGGCCTCCCACAAGGTCTGAGGGACAGTGGACCGGCCCCCTGCTGATAAAGTTTGCTGACCCCTGATTACAATGAAAGCAAGAGAGTTGGAAACAGTTTCACATCTTCACAGTGAAAATTATAAACCCTATGTGCTGTTTTCTTCTCAACAACCATAGTTTTCAAACCAGCAACCAACAGTAGTGTTTGGGAACTGTATCCAGCAACATAGATTTTGGGTTCACCTATCCTTGAGTGCAATTAATAAATCCTTTGGCCCATTGAAAGGAATGCAGTTAATCCATCATAACCATCTCTTTTTCATAGATGATTGAGGACATACTGTCCTTCTCTGCTCCTTGGTAAATCTGGAATCCATAATGTATTATAGCAACAGCCTTTTCCCATCTCTCTCTCTCTCTCTCTCTCTCTCTCTCTCTCTCTCTGACACACACACACACACACCACTTTCCCTCACCCCACAGTGTGCGTCCCCATGGTGTAACTATAACTTTGGAAACCGCCTATTAAAAATAATGGCTATGTGTCAAAAGTGGAATGATGAATGAAGACCCTGCCTCTCCCTCCTTGGGGGACACACAGATTCTTTCTGAGTTGTACTAACGTGGAAAAATGTGTCAGCTCTTAAGTGATCAGTCTTGGAATATTTCTCTTTTAAAAATAAATAAATAAAACAACCTCATTTTTCACACTTCCAGTTCGCAATAACATTTAGACCTGGGGAAGGGGAGTCACATAATAAGCATTCCACTTGAACAACATGCTTTTTTAAAAGCAGGCTGATCTCTTGCTAGTCATTTCAAAGTTATCCCTTTCCCAAGGGAAGCCTTTACAATGTTTACAGAGTAGTCTTTTTTAAAAAAAGAGGAAAGTGCTATGGAGCCCTTTATTCTCTTTGTGATAATCTGCTTATTTACAAATGTACAGTTAAGGCAGAAGTGCAGAAACAAGCAGACAGGAGTACCAAGCAACAGCATATTGTTCCCTCCACCCCAGCCAAATCCAAATATTTGTTTCTTTCTGGGTCGCCATGTATATTTGTCCCCTCCTACCTGCTCAAATCCATTTTTTTCTTCGCCTTCCATCTCTCCATGTATACTCATACTCTAGATGTCCAGAACTTGGAAAGGTAATTTTTTGAAAACCAAGTAGTTCTTGCTCAGGTGTGGCATGTCCAAACAGGAACTAGTTTCTGTTCATCTTCATCCCTCTGAAAAACAAGCAAGCTCAGTTCAAGTTCATCCAAATGATCTTCGGCAGAAAGAAGAAAAAACGATATTCAGAATGTTGCAAGTATATTAAATATACTTAAGACTAAGAAAAAAATTAAAACACACGCATACAGTGGAATGTGAATGGCTTATTTCCTTCCAAAATTATTATATTTTTAAGTTAGAGGCTGAATGAGTCTAAGAAGTTAAAAACACATGGTCCGTCTAGCTCCCCACAGGCTGGCAGCAGCCCTCCAGGGTTTCAGACAGTCAGCCTCTCCCAGCCCTACCTGGAGATGCCGGGGATTGAACCTTTGCTCTGCTGCTTCAAGTCATTTGCAGCAGAGGCTGAATTAAACAGGGATATTAGAAGCTGCCTTTTCACTGAATCATATTTTTGGTCCATCTTGTTCAGTATTGCCTACAGTGATTGGCAGTGGCTCTCTAGGGTTCCCAGCCCTACCTGGAGATGCCAGAGATTGAACCCAGGACCTTCTGCATGCAAAGCAGGTGAGCCACAACCCTTCCCCACAGGATACCAGATTGCAGACAACTGGCCTAATGTGTAATACATATGTAGTTAAGTCACAGGTAGCCAAAGTGGCGCCATCCAAATGTTATTGACTACATTCCTATCAGCCCCACGCACCCACCCCAGCCAGCGTGGTCAGTGATCAGGGAGCTAGCCCTGAACATGGATGATGGGAATTGTAGTCCAACATCATCTGGGGACCCAAGGTTGGGGAAAGTCTGCCTTAAAGTGCTGCTTCTCTCTGTCCTTTAACCTCCCCACTTGTAAGTTGGGCCACACACACACACACTCACAGGCCTACTAAGCCGGGCTGTCGTAATAAGGTTCCCCAAGATAAATAAGGTACTTCAGACAAGCACTTTGTAGTAGTAGTAAAGCACAGGTGTGAGGAATCAGCTAAAGATTCTTTAACAACCAGGAATGGTCAAAGGTTCAAGCATCTGCCTTCCACCTTTTGGGAAGGAACGGGCATCCTCAGAGACCCTCCAGCAAGTAACATGCACAGTTATTTTGATCTATTCCTTCCATTAGGGAATGTACGTGGCAACAGCTCTCCATCTTGGCGATGTGGCCGAGCTCAAAATCTGGTGGGGCCACTTAAAAAGGAAGGAGGAGGGGAGTTCACTCAGACCTGCCTGGGCAACCTTGGCCCTTTTCCGCTGAGTCTGTCATCCCGGGACTCAATTAAGCAGAGCCACTGTGAGTGGCTTCTGTTGCGCAGTGAGCTTGCCTGTCCACTAACGGCTGACCCGAGACTGCCAAGCAGCCAATTGAGGATACAGATTTGCAGCAGGTGACCGGCCTGAACCGGATTGAAGCCAGCAACCTCTGCACCCCATTATCTTTTCCCTGCAACAACCCCCCACCCTGTTTGCATTCTCTTGCGTGGAAAAGGCAAAGTAACAAAAAAATATAAGCACAAGAGGTGACAGTATTTGTCTCCAAACAATTGTCAGGACTAGGAAATAGCTCCTTTTTGCAGGTTCAATGTCCTAGTTCCTGGTAGTTGTCCTGGATTTAGCTAGAACTGTATAACTATCTTTTTTTTTTTTTTTTTTTTTTTTGAGGATCATTTTATCCAAGGCACCTAGATCATTTTGCTTATTTAAAAGCATTTATATACAGCTTAGGAATGTAGGAAGCTGACTGAATCAGACCTATTGGCCCATCTAGCTCAGTACTGTCTACACTGACTGGCAGCAGCTCTCTGGGGTTTCAGGCAGGAATCTCTCCCAGACCTACCTAGAGAAGCTATTGAGGATTGAACCAGGGGCTTTCTGCATGGCAAAGCAGATGCTCTGTCACTGAGCAACAGTCCTTCCCCAAAGCTTAATTGTTCAAAAATCTCTAAGCCATGCATACCATAATATAGATATATCATTCAAACACAAACTAAAACCAGAAAAACTGCAAGCTTCTTTGGAGAGACGAAGGATCTCTGGCTGCAGCCATCATACATACAGTGGAAGAGAAGGCTGGGTTAAGCCCCATCCAAACAAGGAAGGAGATGAATCACACAAACTTTGGCTGTGTGTTCCAGGAACGTTTTCCAAAGCCCATTAGGACAGGGATATGGAACTCAGGCCTGGAGGCCAGGTGTGCCCCCCAAGGCCACTCTATCTGCCCCTTGGACACCCCCCTCCCAAAGCATGCTCCCCGATAGCCCTGCTTTGCATCCTCCTTGAATGCTTTCGCCTGGCCATAAAGGCATCCTTTTACTCTGAACCTAAGCCTCTTGCCTACCTAACCTCACACTCAATTAAGACTACACAGAACCTTTATTCTCAATAATGATGGAACTCACAGGTGGAGAATACCTTTCTTCTCTATATATCTTTATTATTTGTAAAGGGAATATTTGTATAAGTGAAAACTTTACTATCCCTTTGGAGTTGCGCTGTGTCTTTGTACTTTTGTCCTTGGAGGCTGTGATGATTTATGTTTCACACTTTTGACTTTGTTTTCTTTCCATTTTATTAACTTTGCACTTGTTTTTTCCGTTAACAACTTTTTTTAAAAAAAGAGCTGCTGATTCTGAAATTCATATAGACTTCCACCATGCTAGCTCCGGCCCTGCCCTTGCCAGTTGGTATAACTCGCCCTCCTTCCCCCTTGTGTGTCCGGCAGGTGCAGACCTACACGGACCATTACTGCAACAACTCCACTGACAAACGTATCCTGCTCCTGTTCCTCAGCATCTGCAGCGACTTGAACAAACTTTGCCAACGGCTGGAATCCCTACACCCTGGTAACAGTGTCACCAATGCCCTCTTGGACAAGTGCAAAACGTTGGTGAGCCACAGCAATGACCTCAGTGGGATCAGAGCCAAGTAGGTATTTATTTGTAGAGAATGGGCTGGCTGGGGCTGGTGGGGACTGTCACCCAAAACATCTGGAGGGAGCCAAGTTGGCTAATGCCATCATAGCAACATAGGAAGCTGCCATATGTCTTGTACTTCATCTGAAAACAAAGCAACATTCCAGTCCCCATTATTCTGAACAGCAGCATAAAAAGCTGCTATAAACCAAGTCAGACCCACTGATCCATCTAGCTCAGTATTGTATACACTGGCAGGCAGTGACACCCTGCGATTTTGGGCAGGAAACATTCCCAGCCCTAGCTAGAGATGGCAAAGACTGAACCTATGGCCTTCTGTATGAAAAGCTGGTGCTCCACTACTGAGCTGTAGGTGCTCCTGATGAACACATGAAGTTGCTTTATACAGAGCCAGACCTTTGGTCCATCTAGCTCAGTATTGTCTACACTGATGCACAGAGGTTCCTCAGGTTTCAGATAAGAGTATATCCCAGCCCTTCCTGGAAATGTCAGGAATTGTACCTGGGATCGTCTGCATGCAAAGCAAGATGTTCTGTCACCGAGTTGTGGCATTTCCCCTGAAAGCCAGGATTCCAGTCCTGATGGTTCTGAATTAAAAGATGATTTAAATAGGCATGTAGGGAGCTGCTTTCTGCTGAATCTCCATCTAGCTCAGAATTGTCTACACCAGAGCTTTCCAAACTTTTCAGGTTGGTAACAAAGCTTTTAGACAAGCATCATTTCACAACACAGTAATTCAGTTTTACTAGCAAACCAGAGGTTAAACCCCTTTCCAGCCCCAGTAGGAGGGCGAGGAGTGTTCACATGACACACCTACACACTGCAGCCGACACACAGTTTGGAAAGCTCAGGTCTACACTGACTAGCAGCACCTCTTCAGGGTTTCAGAAGGGATGCCTCCCCCAGCCCTAGCTGGAAATGTCGGTGGGGATTGAACCCGGGACTTCCTGCATGCAGAACAGATGCTTTACCATTGAACTACAGCCCTTCCCCCATAATTAAATAAGATTCCAGTGCTCCTGGTTCTGAATAAAAGGATCATGTAAATAAGAAGTCGTTTGCCGAACCAGATCATTGTTCCATATAGCTCAGTCTGCACTGACTGGCTGAAGCTTTTCAGGCAGAGATCTCTCCTGCCTCTACCTGGAGACACCAGGAATTAAACCTGTGAACTTCTGCCCATAACTGCCCTACAGCCCTTCCCCATTATATAAGAACATAGGAAGCTGCCTTACATTGAGTCAGACCATTGGGGTCCATCTAGCTCAGTACTGTCTACACCAGCATCTTTTAACCTTGGGTCCCAGATGATGTTGGACTAAAACTCCCATCATCCCTGACCATTGGTCATGCTAGCTAGGAATGATGAGAGGTATAGTTCAACAACATCTGGGAACCTAAGGTTGAGAAAGGCTGGTCTATACTGACTGGCAGTGGCTGTGTGGTGCTCCATATAGGCAGCTCTCCCAGAACTACCTGAAGAGCTTCACTCAGAGATCTAACTTTGAGACACATGGAGGAAGAGGCGTATCACACAGAAGGGGCCTGGCTTTCCCCTATTCCGACCTGTTGTCAATCCAAGGAGGAAGGCCTACAAATAGTTGAAGGGGGGGATTGTTCTGTAACTGCCACAGTAGAGTAGTGGAAAATTTAAAAGTGCAGGATCCCTTCATGCATGATCCCCTTTTGAGATTATGAAATTATCTTGTAAAATTATTTAATGATGATGATGATGCAGGATGCATTCTAACAGTCAGTGCAGATTTCCATGTTTTCTGTGCATGAACACAGCCAAATGATTTTGAGTGCTTCAATATCTTATTTTGGAGTGACTTAAGTTGTGTTTTTATTGACATTCCATTGTACATAACAGAACTAGCACATCCTTCTCTTAAAAGTGAGGAACCTTTTCCCAGTGCTCCTAAATGCTCAGCTTTTAGGACAACTCCTTGGTGTCCTTCCAGTGCATCTTATCCAGAGGGACCCTAGGACAGTGTTTCCCAACCTTTTTTGGGCAAAGGCACACTTGTTTCATGAAAAAAATCTCGAGGCACACCACCATTACAGCCCCGTGACGTCAGCGCGCAGCGTCACGCCGGGAGGGACATGAATTGCTAGCAAATTACATAATCACCTCCTTGAGGGCTGGCTCATCTTCTCCGAAGGCAGAACCCCATTAATTAACAGCACAGACTCACACCATAGCCAAGACGAGGGGGGAAAACCTCAGTCATGCACAGTCATGCACATGTGGGGGCTAAATGAGGACGAAGACCGGGCAGAGAGCAGGGTTCAAATCACCCCACCTGGCCAGGACAATCCCTGGGTGCTCCCTTGGGCCACTCGCCTGACCCACCTCGCAGGGCTGTTGTTGCGAGGATAACACGGGGAGAACCACGCGCGCCCCCGGGAGCTCCTTGGAGGAGAAAGCGGGCGATGAATGCAATGCACGAAATATATGAGAGGCGACCAGGTTTTGCAGGTGAGGGGCCCCCGCCAGCCTCCGCTTCCAACACCCGGCGCAACGACGCCGAAGTTTCCCCCCGGGCTCGGCTCGGGGAGCAGCACTGCTCCCCCCCGGCTCCCCTTCGCCCTCCCGGCTCTCTCTGCCGCCCACTGGGGACCCCCATCACCTGCCAAGTCCGGAGCGCCGGTGGAAGTTGCATGCATGCATGCAGGGCGCCGCGTTGCCATTGCATTGCACTGCACTCCATGCAACGCCTGCATGCATGCATTGCCTTGCACGCCCGCCAAGGGGTCTCCCCGCGGTCCGATGCGTCCCCTCCGGCGCGGATGCAGCATTGCAAAAATAAAAAACCCTCGACGCAGCCCTACCTGGGGGGCAGCCTCCGCCGCTCCGCCTCCGCGGGGATCCCCGGGCTCCATCCTGCCGCCCGATCTCTGGGGGGCGCAGGCAGGCTGCGCGGGGTCTGCGCGGAAGAGCCCCTGCCCACCCGGCCGCCGCCGCTGCGCTCATTCCATGGCCGGGAGAAGAGCGCTTCAAACAAAACGCCCGGCCCGCCAGGCCACGCTGGGAAACGTAGTTCGCGCACCCCGCGCGGGCGCGGAGCCCAAGGGCGAGGGGACTACGGATCCCGGCAGCCCCCGCGCCGGGGACGGAGGGGGAGAGGCCGGGTGCAGGGATGGAGGGACGGGTGGGCGAGCGAGTGAGTGAGTGAGTGGCAGCCGCCAAGCCTTGGCCGAGAGCCAGGAAGGGCCTCCCCGGAGGAGGAGGAGGAGGGAGGCGCAGAGCGGGAGGGAGGGAGGGAACCCCAGGGGTCATCTAGTGACGGCGCCCCAATCGAAAATTTGACTTTAAAAAAAAAAATCTTTCAATTTTTTAATTTTTCCCGCGGCACACCAGGCAACATCTCGCGGCACACTAGTGTGCCGCGGAACAGTGGTTGGGAAACACTGCCCTAGGAGACCATCCTCAGCAGCTGACTCACCTCCTTTCACTCTGATTGGCCTCCAATCAGCAGCACAAAGAGGCTTTTTATCAGTGCCAGAAAAGTTCCCCTTTTATGCTGATTGGATAGCTCTAGAATGCTGAAGACAAGGACTGTTGCAGAAATAGTAATGGGTTTCAGGGCCACTCATGACCAGGGCTGATGAGGGTGGAGGGGAATCCAGTACAAGAGGGTCAGAAGGTGACCCAGGGCCTGACTATATTGCATGTATTTTTGTCTTGGTTGTATCATTATTTATCCATTGTTTCTGACATCCATTGAAAAACCGCTTGCAAACTTATGCTTGTGAACCAAGCATTCCCATTTATTTCTGACTCTGTATGAACATTAGCTTCTGTGCATTGACAGTAGGACAACAAAGCCTCATCTTATTATGCACAGTCACCTCTGTATGTTTTCATAAGTGAATTCTGTGTGAATACAACAAAGTTGTCGTGTGATGCACATCATGTTGCCTTACATGTACAAGTTAAACATTTAAAGTATTTGGTTAATTCAGCTGAGATCACATGGGTGCTTCTATTACTGATATTAGCTGTTGGGACCTTAATGTTCTCAGCTGGCACATGAATATTATACAGTGGTACCTCGGGTTGAGTACCTAATTCGTTCCGGAGGTCCGTTCTTAACCTGAAACTGTTCTTAACCTGAAGCACCACTTTAGTTAATGGGGCCTCCCGCTGCTGCCTCGCTGCCGGAGCACGATTTCTGTTCTCATCCTGAAGCAAAGTTCTTAACCTGAGGTACTATTTCTGGGTTAGCGGAGTCTGTAACCTGAAGCGTATGTAACCCGAGGTACCACTGTATTTATTATTAGCACACACATGAGATCACACGTTTATTTTTATATCCCTTGTAAAGATTTTTAGCCACTCTGCCCTCGCTGGATGCTGTGCAAAAAATAAAAATAAATCAAAAAAATTAAAAAAACACACCAGGGCCCAACTCTGCTCTCAGTTGCCCTGCCCACGACCCCAAACCACTGAACTGCCATTGACTGTACCAATGCCTTTTGGCCTTCTCCTCCCCGCCACCCCCAAATGTCCAACAGGTACCCTCACGATGTTGTGAACCACCTCAGCTGCGATGAAGCCCGGAACCATTACGGCGGTGTGGTGAGCCTCATCCCCATCGTCCTCGACAGCATGAAGGAGTGGGTGGCTCACACTGAGAAGCTCCCGCGGAACATGTTACACAGTGTGAGTGCCCGGAAGGCCGCCGTCTACAACCAGGCAGAGCAGCCCATTCGCCGTGTGGGCGACCGCGACCACTTAGGCCGGCCCGCTTTCATCACCGAGGGCACTCAGACCTACATTAGCTTGACAGAAAAGGCCAGGGAGAGGGAGGACAGGAGGGTTAAGCTAAAGCAACTGGGTGGCCTAGGCAGGGCCATCCGGAAGTTTCTCGACGGGCCCTGGAGACCGCCTGGCAAACACGCATTTTAAAAAAGAGAGAGAGAGAGTAAAGACCAAAAAAAGAAAAAGAAAGCAGCCTGCTCGCTTAGCATCCGGCGATTAAAACAGTCTCCCTATATTTGCTTCAGTTATGCCCTTTCCTGAGGGGGAAAAGAAAGAGATACATCTGCTTTGGTAGCGACAAGCATGATCTATCTTATCCCTTTCTTGGAGCAGGTCACCCTCAGATGAAGATACTTTAGCCTACTCAACAGTGTTCAAGTAACCCCAGCTTTAGAGCAGACCAGGCCTACAGAATTAATGGCCTACTGTGGTGAAATTAGGCCACCGCCAAATACTGGTGTGGTGTCCGCCAGGCACTTAATGATACCTCAAGTTGTGGGGAGGCAGGGGAAGGGTTAGTGGGTCACCATATCAGAGCACAGGGTTTTGATTCACCTTGACAGCTGCCCCTCTTCTGCACTTCTTATAGGCTTGAGTGTTACATGTCTGCCCAGTGTGAACCTCTGGCCAAATCATAACTCTAACATGGGTTACTTATTTAGCTGGGGAAAGAGGTGGTAAAACAACCAGAGAAAGGAGGATTCATCTACACATTTTTGAGAGGGTGGAAATACGCTTTAAAAGAAACAAAAAACTTGTACACCCACTTAGAGCTCACTACTATCTGGCACCAGTTAAACCAGAATACACTGAGTTTCTGGAAGCACTGAATTTGGTTGAGTAAAGCTTTTTGACACACAGAAGGAAAAGCACAGGGCAGGAGAGGAGTATTTTTGTACTTAAGTAAGATTCCAGGTCACCTCAGGAGACTTGGACCACTTTTCAAGGCAGAATTGCACTTTAAAAAAAAATTAAAACACCTCTGGAAAAATGAGGGCTTGACTTCTCACAGAAACATAAAAAGGAGGAAGAAAACACATTTCCAGCATGCCAGGCTCACACCAACTCACACCAACTTCTGCCAGGGGTGGGATAGGGAGTATCCATTGTTTTCAAGAAATGGAGCATTTTAACATTAGATCTTGTCAGTACAACTCAACTCCTTTTGTCTGATTGTTTCTTTTTCCCCTCCTCGCAGGATCCTTAGCTCCTGTTTTTTTGCCTCTTGCCGGAAGATGCTTCTGAATAAAGCTGTTTCCCCTGCAAGTGCAGCTCGTTGCTAGAATTATAGAGGTGTTTTCGTGATCAAATTACTAAAGGAAAATTATGCTGAGCCCAGGGATGGGGGTGGTAGAGAAGGGACAGGCAAACTTGAACCCCAGACCCAGGACTACCCTCACCCTCATTTTAAACCTATAAATCTACAACATGGTACCCCCACTTCTAATTACTATGACTTTTTTTTTCATCTCCCCAAATTACACACTGGAAATCTAGGCCCAAATCCAGTTCCTAGACTCTTCCCAGACACCCTCCCTCTACTTCTTTTTGACTGTCCCATTTGGAGATTACAGACAGGCAAAGGAATTTCATCACACAGTGCATCATTAAACTATGGAACTCCTTCCCACAAGAGGCAGTGATGGCCACCAATTCTGATGGCTTAAAAAAAAAAAGATGAGATCATGGAGAACAAGGCTATCATGACTACTAGATATGTACTCCACTGTGTATCAGTTGCTGGGGGTGACAAGTGGCGAGAATGCTCTTGTGCTCAGTTCTTGCTGGCTGGCTTCCCACTGGAGCATTAGGTTGGCCACTGTGTAAACAAGATGCTGGACTAGATGAGTCGCTGGCCTGATGCAGCAGCCAGGCTCTTCTAACATTTCCTGTTATTCTAACATATACTGTTATTCTTTTCAGAATACTGCATGACTTTAAACTTCCTAGCCTGGGATAGTCTGAGCAGAAAGGTGGGTTTAAAAGCTGCAATAATAGTGGGAGAATGGTAGAAACAAATCCCAGTTCTCTGCAGGGGAGACTGGCCCATTAGGGTGAATGGGGCACTGCCCCACCAACATCAGTCTTCCCTCAGCCACTCCCCACCTAGCTGTCGTCTTTGTTTGCAACCAGTTCAGGGGGTGGCACTTCCTGTCAGCTTTCTCCTCCTCGGTCTGTGTGTTGCTCTTGTAAAACTCAGCTAAGGGAAGATGGGGAGAGGTAGGATTAGTTGGCTCTGCTTGTCATTGGCTCTGGCACCACCCACTGTTGGGCTCCCTGCCTCCTGCCCTACCAGTCCCAATGAGCACCAGTCACCACTGGTCCTCTGATGTCAGATGAGTTCTAATTTTCTTTAAAGAATAGAAAAAAGAAGAGGAAGATAAGATAGCTATCACTTTCCACCAACACCTTTGTAGTAAGGTAGCAAGTTAAAATGCACTGTGGGGTTTGAGTTTCTACTCTGCATTCAGGAAGTAAAATAAATGAATAATTGAGCCCTTTCAACCTACATCCCCAACTCTTTCGGCATAAAATGTTTATTATTTATGGTGGTGTTTATAGACCTACCAAAGCATTCTTGCTTAGCACTAGAAAGCGCTGGAAGGTAATTTATTTTTCTCTTTTTCTATCTTGCTGGCTTCCTTTCTCTGATATAATACATATTTAATCATTTTGATCCAGGTAGGGAAGCATCCCCCCTTGAATATTAAATCAGCAGTGAACCATAAAAGTTATTTTTCCAAGTACCAAATTTCTTCTGTATTTATTAAGGCAAACCCAGCCTCCATCCCAGCCAATGATTTATGCAAGAAATCCAACATATTCCTATCAAGTCATTCACACACCCCAACATATAGAGTAGTACCCTTTTATTGCTTCAATAGTACACCGAATGTTGTGCATTAACCATTTATAGCCTATTGCATTGGCATCCATCTGTCTCAAGAGAATGGATTATGCCTCCAGGGATGACGTCAAACCACTGCGTAAGCAGCACCAAAGTGATCTCCCCATGACACAGTATGTAAGGTGGTCCTGGGCTGCCCAGATGACAGGAACCACCCCCCTCGGCCTCACTGGTGTGGTCCAAAGGAAAACAGAGCAATACGTTTTGCATCAGCTTGGCTGCAGGAGTTGCCAGGCCATCCAACCGTCTTCTCCAGATATGTGTAGCCTTTTCTGCTTCTGAAGACATCATGCAAGGCAGCAAAGGTTTAGGACCAGTTTTACTTCTCCTAGATGGGCTTCCTTCCCAGGTTGGCAAGCCTCACCTGCCCCTCACTTTCCTCTACAACACATGCAGAAACCCCCCTCTTGATCATTGGACCCACTATTTATCTCGTCCGCTCAATATGCTGGAGCCTGTCTTCTCATGCAGGGAAGTCCTTAACCTACTGAGGGTTTGAGACCCAACAGCTACTCTTACCTGGTTTAGCCAGGCAGTCAAAGTCACTTCCCAGGGTATAGCTGCTGTTGCATGCTGACAGCTTCAAGGAGCAACAGATGAGAGTTGAGTGCAGGATGGGAACCAAGGTGGACAAATTACTGCCGAAGAAGCACAATGTGTCCCCTCCCAGAGGTCCTACCCCTCCTATAACACCCCTTATTGCCTGTATTTATTTTAAATCCCCCATTAAGGTAAGGCTGATCTTGACAAGAGACTGTTTTGAACCAGCATACGTGAGTGAAAAATGGGAAATTTGCACTTTGCTACATGTAAACAGTTACCTTTCTGCACCCACCCACACGCGCACGCACACAGGTTCTTGAGTTAAAACCCGTAATTATTGAGAGGTAGGGTGAAGGAGGATTAACCTGGATTCTGGAAACAGAGTGCTCTTGTGCTTGAATCTTGTCTGGTTGCCCATTGTGAGAACAGGATTTGGGGGTTGGATGGGCCATTGGCCTGACCCAGCAGGGCTTTCTATGTTTTTCCTAGAAGCCACCTGCAGAATCTCTTAACAGCAACCCCCTTCCCAGTTACAAATTCCTTAGCGGTTTACAAAATCCCAGGTTACAAAATTCAGATTTTATACACAAACCCATACCCAAAAGAACTGCTGGCCAGCTGCCTTTTGCCCCGACTGCCCAACTCACAACTTACATCTCTGGGTTGGTGTTTATTGGATCAACACTTGGCTATTAGTAGACAGGTACATAAAAGTTGGGAATCGTTTGAGATGTTGCTTCACAGAGTTCCAAGGCAGGCACAGCTTCATTCAAAATGGAAGCAACTAAAGCTACAGCAGCCACAGAGCTTCCAGAAGGACCCCTGGACAGAAGAATCATCTTGCTAGGCAGGCAACTTGAGATGGCTTGAGGGCTTTTGATAAAAGGTGGTGGGGAGAGCAGGTTTGCACCAAGAGTAGGGTGGTGGTAACTTTTTTCACCCAAGGGTCACATGCTATGGTGGGCCGGGCCAGAGTTGAAAGTGGGCAGAAAACTAATGTAAATCATTCCTCTGTACAGGCTAGTTCTACACAAATCTCTCTATCCTTCATCCAGACAAGCAAGCAGCATTGTCAAGAGTTTTTAACCTGTCTTTGAAAACTCTTGACAATGCTTGACAACAACAACAACAACACACACACACACACACACACACACACACACACCCAAGGTGCAAAGCAGGGCCAGAAAGGGTGTATAACCTGGAAAACATTCAAAGGGCCATATGCAGAGGCCTGGAGGGTCACATTTAAGATTCTATACCCCAGGCATACTACACACACTAAACAGAGTAAGTCTAGTCCAGTATTCTCCAAAAGTTGGCAGATGCCACTGGGAAACTCTGAAGCAAGGAATACTGGGAAGAAGAGAGGTTCCATTAAGCTGCCATTAACTATTAACGATTAACTAGAGAAATCAGATCTTGGTCTAATGAATCCCACCAAACGTCACACACTGTGAGGAAGCATTGTTACACCTCCATGCTCAAAACCACATGCACTGTGGAATGCTGAAATCCTTACTTTAGGAGACAGGGAACTGGGGAGTCCCATCAACATCTGAAGAGCCACCGGTTCCAGCTAGTCTGGTCAAGGATGATGATGATTTATTATTTGTTCCCTGCCCATCTGACTGGGTTGCCCCAGCTACTCTAGGCAGCTTCCAGCGTATATAAAAACATAGTGAAACATTAAGCCTTAAAAAGCACATCTCCTTGACATCTGATGGCAGGGCATTCAACAGGGTTGGCGCCACTACTGAGAAGGCCCTCTTCCTGATTCCCTGTAGCGTCACTTCTCACATTGTGGGAATCTCCAGAATAATGTGAGTTGTCAATCTCTGGGAGGGTTACACTTTCCTTAACCCTGCCTTGCTACGGGTTGGAAAACCAATCCAGCTGTTCAGTAAAGTGCCCACTCTCTCAAACAAAAGGAGTTTCTGCACACTCCTATTAACATTAGTTAGCCAGTATAGGTCCTCCAACAGGATCCTTTTATGATTTTACTTGCAAAACCAGTCTAATATAGTACAAAAGAATTCTTTTTATTTTTGTTCACAGTCAAACACAAGGAACTGCTGTGACATATTACAACATCCTAGCAAGGACAGCAAATTTTCATCCATTTGGGTTTTTTTCTCTTTAATTTACTCCTTTATCTTGAATTTCACCATTTCTTACTTACAATTTCATATTTACGGCATTTTACATTTTATAAATGTAAAATATTTACTTATACAAAGAGCAAGGCAGGAATCAATGTTAAATCTAAATAGAGAAATCGCTCTCTGACAAACGGTTAACTAAAAGCAGCCAGGTTGTTTGTTTTTTTGTTAAGGGAACAAAATAATTTCCAGCTTTACCACCGGGATCTTCCTGCATCCCCTTGCCTTTTCATGTGCTGCATTCATGATTCAAGAGATTTACTGAATGCTCCATAATTTCTGTGGTCCATGGTGCAGTGGGGAGAGAACATACTGGGAGATTCTGGCAGGTGATCATGTGCCCTTTTAATGAAAAATGCTGTCTCTTTAAAAGAGAGAAGGCTCTCTCAACTGAAGGGGTACTTTTGTATTGAAAATAAAGCCCACTTTGCAAATGAACCACAAGGGGACAGTTTGCATGGGGGGAGGACACAATATAGCCAATCCCACTGCTTTTAAATCAAGGGGGGGGGAATTCAGAAGCATCCCCCCTCCCATAGAAATGTAAATAGGCCAACTTGGGGAGGGGGGAACCAGGGTGGCATCTGGGCAGACAATGAGAAACAGGACTACCACTCCTTAGGAAGGAGTGGAAGAGAAAAAAAATCAGCTCACCCTTTTCTCATAAGACAGACACAGCAGCAAACACAAAGAAAAATTTGTCTCAGCTTAGGTTAGGCATTTGGGTTAGGCTGAGGAAGTTCTGCATCCACTGTACTAACCAGAAATCTCCACAGGACAGGTTTCCAACAGAAAAGCCTCGGCTTTCTTTTCCACTCAGGGTGGAAAAATAAACACCCACACAACTGGAGGTCAGCTCAGTACCATCTCATCCAGCAACAAAAGCAAATTTGTGGGGAGGGGAAAAGAGAGAAAGAGGGCATGGTTTTCAATACTGGAGGGGACTCTATCTCATTTCACGGTTAGAGTGAAGTCCAGTCTATGCACAAAATGCAAAAAGTTGGGGGGGGATGGGGAGGGGGAAGGCTGAAGGCGGGGAAAAGACTGAGTCGCCATCATATTATAACACTTTGAGAAAAACAAATCCAGGGGTTTCTCAATAAGAGTAACCCTGAGTTGCTTGCAGGAGGGGAGACAGCAGATGCTTAGTTCTCCAGATGAGCACACCCCGAGTATTCCTTGGGGGAGGCTCTGCTCCATATTGCACACAAGTTCATTTAAACCAACCTCTCAGCAGGGGGGTAGGGCAAGAAAAAAGTGGATGGATTGACAAAAAGTTTGGAGAAATCCTAGCTGCTGCTGCTGCTGCAGCATCAAAGTGTGTACTACACAGTGGCTTCAAGAGGGACAGAAGTGTTTCAGGGAAGGCCTTGACTGATCACCTACACTTCTAGACCCAGAAACTCAGCCATCCCATAAACCCACTTGGGGCAAAAAAGTCCAACAAAAGAACTGCCGCCTGTGTAAGCTGGTAGGGTGCTGGACTGACAAAACCCAAAAGCTTTTAGTTAAATTGGGCAGCCACACCTCCCTGTTCTATGCCAAAAATATGAAAATGTTAATACTGATTTTGATTTTCCTTTCCTCATTTCTAGCTATGGCCATGAGATTCATTGTAATCCATGATATGAAGCTGTCCAACATTGGCATCCTGGGTTCTGGGGGAGGGAGGCAGTTCCTCGGGACTAGGGGAGGGTGCCTGGGCTGCCTCCGTGACCTCCAGGCTGGGATCTTTGCAGGTCTTCAAAGGTTCACAAACGTTGCCAGTGGCCACCCCATCCTCATTGCAGTGACCCTTGTTCTTGTTGTGGAACAGCTCTTGGGCCTTCATCCCTAGGAAACTCTCAGAGCTTGGGAAGGAGCCCACTGTGGGGGGGACGCTGCCAGAGGAGGGCTCCAGCAATGCAGACGACTCTCTGCGGTTGTTGAGCTGCCCGGTGCGCTGGCTGGGCTTCTCAGGGGTGGACACCTCGCTGCTGCTGCCCCGGGTGCTGGGAGGTTCAGTCTCACTGCTACATTCCAGCGGTTCCTCACTGTGTACCACAGTAGGGT